AAAATTAATATTTCATGTGGTAAAATTTTTTTTTTTTTCAATACTTTGGGGTGTCTTGCACGGATTAATTTGATTTCCATTATTTCCTATGGGGAAAATTAACTTGACTAACGATTATTTCAATTAACGATGAGCTCTCAGGAACGGATTAATATCGCTGGTTGAGGGTCCACTGTACTGTGCAATGGAATTGCTTCAGGATATCTAGTTACTCTATCAATAATGGTAATTAAATACAGTGGTCCCTCGTTGTGCGTAATAATCCGTTCCTGGAGCCGTTACTATAAACGAAATTTACGATTTACGAATCAATTTTCCCCATAAGAAATAATGTAAATACAATTAATCCGTTCCTGACACCCAGAAGTATTAAAACAAAAAAATTTTTAACATGAAATATACATGTAGTACATAAACAATACAATGGGAAATGATGAATGAAACATTAACAGCATAACACTTACCTTTATTGGAGATTCTCCTTAGTGTATGGGAGACTGGAGGAGGAGAGAGAGAGTGGATTGTTTATAGTTTGGAAGGGGAATCCCCTTCCATCAACACCTCAGGTACCATTTGCTTTTCTGGGGTTGCTTCTCTTCTCTGTTTCTTAATGCCACTAGGACCACCTTGAGAGTCACTGGAGTCCTGTCTCACAAAATAACTGTGGAGAGAGCTCTGTTTCGGGTGTCCCCTTTAACACTTCCGTAAAATGGCCACAAGACTTTGTCACTGTACATGTTGCCAACCTGGCTTGCAACAACCTTGTTAGGGTGATGTTTCTCCATAAAGCTTTCCATCTTACCCCACATAGTAAAAATCTCTTCAATTTCTGAAGAAGGCACCTTCTTCCATCTCTCTTCCTCCTCCTCTGCAGCAAGATTCTGAGCTGCGATGTGTTGCTCTTCCTGCTGAAGCTCTTGCAGCTCCTCAGTGGTGAGCTCTTCATTGTGGTCTTCCACCAATTCTTCCACATCTTCCAAACTCACATCCAACCCCATGGAACTCCCCAGTGCCACAATTGATTTTACAACAGACATAGGCTCATTAGGGTCAGTCCCAAATCCTTCAAAATCCCTCTTGTCGACACAATCTGGCCACAATTTTCTCCAGGCAGAGTTCAAAGTCCTGGTAGTCACTCCCTCCCAAGCCATACCTATAAGGGTTATGCAGTGGAGGATGCTGAAGTGTTCTCTCCAAAATTCCCTAGGTCAAGTGAGTGTCTGTGGTCACAGTCAAGCACCTGTGAAACATTGCTTTTGTGTAGAGTTTTTTAAAGTTTGCAATAACCTGCTGGTCCATGGTTGGAGGGGAGGAGTGGTATTCGGGGGCAAGAACTTTACTGTGATGAACCCAAACTCCTCGAAAATTAGGTCATCCAAGTTTGGAGGATGAGCAGGTGCATTGTCCATTACTAGCACGCACTTGAGATCCAATTTCTTTCCAGGAGATACTCCTTCACACTAGGGCCAAACACTTCGTTGAACCACTCGACGAAAATTTTCCCTCGTGACCCATGCCTTACTATTAGATTTCCAAAACACACACAATTTACTCTTCATAACATTGTTTTTCCTGAACACTCTGGGATTTTCAGAATGGTACACTAGTAATGGCTTCACTTTGAAATCCCCACTAGCATTAGTGCAGAACATTAGCATCAGCCTGTCTTTCATAGGCTTATGGGCCTGCATTGCCTTTCCTCTTGTGTAATGAAGGTCCTCTTTGGGATTTTCTTCCAAAAGAGGGCCCGTTTCGTCACAATGAACACTAGTTCAGGTTTCAGTCCTTCAGCCTCTATGTACTCCTGGAATTCATGCACATATTTTTCAGCCGCCTTGTGGTCCGAACTGGCAGCTTCACCATGCCTTACCACACTGTGTATGCCAGTACGGTTCTTAAATCTCTCAAACCAGCCTTTGCTGGCCTTAAATCCACTCACTTCACCACTATTTGCAGGCAATTTCTTTACCAAATCTTCATGCAACCGCCTAGCCTTTTCACAAATAAACGAAGTCATAAGAGTATCTCCTGCTAATTGTTTCTCATTTATCCACACCAATAATAACTTCTCAACCTCTTCCAGTACTGGCGATCTCATTTTTGTCAGCATAGTTACTCCCACCCACACATACAATTCTATGATATTTAAGCATCCCAGAGCGATAAAATGTATATACAGTTCACTCATTACTTACCTTAAAATATAGGGTGAGATGAGTAGTATTTATTGTAAAAAATCAAGTGTGGTATGTATGGTAGTCAGCCGGGCTACCATACCAGGCCAACCCACCTACACATAATATTCTATTACATTTAAGCATCCCAGAGCGATAAAATGTATATACAGTTCACTCATTACTTACCTTAAAATATTTGTAGTCTTAATGTAGGGTCAGGAGTAAGTAAATAAGATAAAACGAATAAATGAGAGAGAGAAAGAATGAGTGCATGAGAGAGGACAGGCGCAGAGTTATGTAAACAAACCAGGCAAAGGTAAGTTTTGTAAACGAAGTGTACACGTCTGGTTTGTGCACTAGTTACATTGTGTACAGGTTGTCTCTACATTGATACGGTAGAATAAATAAAGAGGAACACTCCCATTCTCATGTAACATCATTTTGAGAAGAAATGATGCTCCGAGTGAAGGCAATGGAAATAAGTCACTCTTGACTTTTTTGGGTTATCGTAGGTTCTCTACACATATGTTGTTATGTATGATAATCTATGTAACTGTATTTGTGTATACCTGAATAAACTTACTTACATACATACAAAAGGAATAATTTTCTACAGTTACCCCCAGTAACACATTTTCTCTTATGTTAGATTAGAGAAAATGTTATTCTTGACATCACTTGTGCAAGTTATCTGGCTACCACATCTCATATTTATGTTTATTTATTCTATTGTAGGGTGTATTTATCATCTTTTTATGTTATGTATCGTGTTTATTATATAATTTTGAAAAAAATATCATGGATGGATTAATGAAAATGTGTATATTAACGTAATATACAACATTTAATGAGACTCGGTGATTATTATTATTATTATCATTTCTAATATGGCGCCACTTGTGCAAGTCGTCTGCTACCACATCTCATATTTATGTTTATTTATTCTATTGTGGGGTGTATTTATCATCTTTTTATATTATGTATCGTGTTTATTATATAATTTTGAAAAAATATCATAGATGGATTAATGAAAATGTGTATTCAGCGTAATATACGACATTTAAATGAGACTCGATGATTATTATTATCATTACTAATATGATGTCTGGAGACATAAGACACTCTTACTGATTTTAATGTGTACCTGCATGCCAGCACAGTATGTAAGTTTATTTAAGTACAGGTATACATAAGTATAATTATCAGAGTATATATAAAATATGAAATAACTTTTAAAAACATTTGAAATTTTGGAGTTTCCAGACAAAATGGAGAGACTTAGTGCTTACTGAGCTCACGAAGAATGTAAACAAACAGGGTGGGGCGCGGTGACCGTATTAGAAAGTCAGGTGGGGGAGCCGTATAGCGAGTTTTGGTCATAATTTGAAATGACCGTATTAGCGGAATGCCGTAAAGTGAAACGCCATAAAGCGGGGCCCTCCTGTACTTTAAATCTCCGAAATAAGGATTAACAGTTAATAATAGTTTCTTCATTCATAACAATTATGTGTGTCAGCATAGTTGCTGATCCCCTGCATGTGTTGTATCTGGAGAATTGGAAGAAAAAAAGTTTGTTCTGAGGAAAGAGAGGCTAGCTACTTTTCCTTGGATCAGGAGCCCCTCACCAGCATCAAGACACTCCCTATGAAGTAATATTAATATATTTCTTACTTTAAAACCTTATTCTAATTATGTCCACTGTGATATTCACTCGTATCTTTCTTTCACTTTAAAGTACTACTACAATATCATTTTCACTCTCATCTTTCTCTTGTACTACACTACTACTGCTGTATCAGTTCTTATTCATTTTGACTCTTAACATTCTAGTTCAATTATGTTCTGTGCCACTTTTTCTGCTTCTTTTTCTTTCTGTAAAAATTCTTCCTAAGTGTTTGTAAAATAGTGGTGGTACCTCGGGATACGAACTTACTTCGTTCCAGAAGGCTGTTCGAGTGCCAGTACCGAACGAATTTATTTCCATAGGGAATAATGTAAATTAGATTAATCCATTTCAGACCCCCCTTACAAAAGCACTTACATAAATACACTTAAATAAATGTTCAAGTTTTGAGCAGTTCGTATCCCGAGGCACCACTGTATTTACAAACCTAAAATATTGCGTGTGGTACCCAGAAACTACTTTTAAATAGTTAAAATTTAATGAGTTTGTAGTTTATTTTAAAATTATTGTATTGAAGAAAATGTTGAAGCTTTAGTTTCTATGAAGATATACATGTTTTGTATGACTTCATTCATCTTTCACAGAGGCCAGGAGCCTCACCATCATTCATCCAATGATGAACAGGCAACACAGTTCAGTTAACATTTCAGATCATTGCATTCCTACTTTCAGTATTCTTCACAGTGCAGCTGTATAATCTATTTTGTTTATTAAATCATAATAACATCAATTTTAAGGAAAAAAAATTTGTTTTCTTAATACAGCCTCTCCTCACTTAGCGATGGACTCATTTACCGACGTCTCGGACTTACAGTGGACTCTCTGACCAGTATTCATACCTAAATAATGTATATTAGAGCTGATTTCCTCTATTCTGTTTGTCAATATACAGTATACTACTGTAAAAACATTTAAAAATATACCAGAAATGTTATAAATGGTACAAAGGTGACATTAAAACAGTATCAGTGATGGTTGACACAAACCCACTACCATTATAGTGATGTCCTCGCTTACCAATGAATTCGTTTAATGATGTGGTCTTAGGAACAGAACTCTGTTGTTAAATGAAGACAGGATGTACAAGATTTGTATACAATCCTGTATATATAAGGTCTAATACACTTTTTTCTTTCCAGAGAATGCATGGAGCAGGTCAAGAGTATTTCTTCTTGAACCTGCTGTAAGAACCATTCATGAGGTCTTCAAATTTTTCCACTCTCAGCTACTTGTATGAAGGCAAAAGAAAGGCAAATGCAAAATAATTAGAACCAATTTGACAATAAGGAATCACACTATTCTAGTTCTAGTACCATCCGACTTACGACCTGCTCGACATACGACCACTTGTACTTATGACCATATGTCTGGCAGCAGGGCTGGGCAGGCCGATGCATACCACTGTACAACAGTTGACCACTACTCGCAGCAACTCGCCATCTCGGGAGAGCTCTCACATCACTCAGGCAGCATCACTTTGAGTTACCCTGCCCTATCAATTGCATCGTACTATATTAACTGTACTGTACTATATATATGTACCTGGACAGTAAATTTCACCATGACCCCTAAGAGGAAGCCTGAATCTTGCACTCGAGCTTGTGGCAAGAAAGGCTCTTACTCTCAACCAAAATCATTACAATAACTGTGATGTTGATATACAGTAGTAAAATATTTAGTAAAAAATAAAATACAGTGGAACTTCTACTTACAAGTGCACCCACGTGCAAGTTTTTCCGGATATGAGCAGTCACTCGGTCGATTTTTGCTTCCAGACACGAGCGAAATTTCCAGGTGCGCGCCGGCCTCAAGGGAGGTTTCTTGACGCTGGTGAGGGGTTCTTGCTCTTAATCTAGGGAATTGGATCTCATTTGTTTGTTGGACTATCTTATTGAAACTTGGGCAATGTATGATGGAAAGGTGCTTCTTAACGTACACCAAAATTGAAAGAAATCGGACCATAAACAACAGAGTTCACTTCTCAGTCATTAGCCGCCCCTTAGCAGTATATTTTCGTATGGTTTTTATGGTTGTATTCTTGTTTTTTGGTCTCATTTATAGAATGGAAGATATATTACAGAAGTAGATGATTTTGATTGATTTCATGACGAAAAGTACCTTGAAATTGAGCTCAAAGTAGCAGAAATGTTCGATTTTTGCCAATGTTCAAGAGTAAACAATACCTGTTCGAGTGGCCATTCCAAATGCGCAGTCATGAAAGGGTTGACATTATTTATACAATTAGTATTACAATAATGCAGTAGTTTGCATGATATTAAATCTTCTATTTTTTGTGTGAATAAAAATTTCAAATGGTAAGCAAGAGAAAACCATACCCCCGGCCGGGATTGAACCCGCGGTCATAGAGTCTCAAAACTCCAGCCCGTCGCGCTAGCCACTAGACCAGCTAGCCACAATAAGATTCATCCAACTAGGTATATTTCTACACCATAGGAAAGTTAGCACAGGCACCTCTGTGACCACAAATGCAAGCTTTTACAGACGAATCTCCAGCTAGCGTGGCCGTGACGAACTCTAGCTCAAGTCCCTTCACTGCCGTCAACATGACTTAAGAAATCGTAATGACACGATTGCAATCGTGTCATTACGATTTCTTAAGTCATGTTGACGCCGGTAAGCAAGAGTATTATTATAAGAATAATAATAGTAATAATAATAATATTTTTTTTTTTTTTTTTTTTTTTTTTTTTTTTTCAAAACAGTCGGGGCCGTATCCCCACCGAGGCAGGGTGACCAAAAAAGAAAGAAAATCCCAAAAGAAAATACTTTCATCATCATTCAACACTTTCACCACACTCGCACATTATCACTGTTTTTGCAGAGTGCTCAGAATACAACAGTCTAGAAGCATACACATATAAAGATACACAACATATCCCTCCAAACTGCCAATATCCCAAACCCCTCCTTTAAAGTGCAGGCATTGTACTTCCCATTTCCAGGACTCAAGTCCGACTATATGAAAATAACCGTTTTCCCTGAATCCCTTCACTAAATATTACCCTGCTCACACTCCAACAGATCGTCAGGTCCCAAGTACCATTCGTCTCCATTCACTCCTATCTAACACGCTCACGCACGCTTGCTGGAAGTCCAAGCCCCTTACCCACAAAACCTCCTTTACCCCCTCTCTCCAACCCTTTCGAGGACGACCCCTACCCCGCCTTCCTTCCCCTATAGATTTATATGCTTTCCATGTCATTCTACTTTGATCCATTCTCTCTAAATGACCAAACCACCTCAACAACCCCTCTTCTGCCCTCTGACTAATACTTTTATTAACTCCACACCTTCTCCTAATTTCCACACTCCGAATTTCTGCATAATATTTACACCACACATTGCCCTTAAACAGGACATCTCCACTGCCTCCAACCGTCTCCTCGCTGCTGCATTTACCACCCAAGCTTCACACCCATATAAGAGTGTTGGTACTACTATACTTTCATACATTCCCTTCTTGCCTCCATAGATAACGTTTTTTGACTCCACATATACCTCAACGCACCACTCACCTTTTTCCCTCATCAATTCTATGATTAACCTCATCCTTCATAAATCCATCCGCCGACACGTCAACTCCCAAGTATCTGAAAACATTCACTTCTTCCATACTCCTCCTCCCCAATTTGATATCCAATTTTTCTTTACTAAATCATTTGACACCCTCATCACCTTACTCTTTTCTATGTTCACTTTCAACTTTCTACCTTTACACACATTCCCAAACTCATCCACTAACCTTTGCAATTTTTCTTTAGAATCTCCCATAAGCACAGTATCATCAGCAAAAAGTAACTGTGTCAATTCCCATTTTGAATTTGATTCCCCATAATTTAATCCCACCCCTCTCCCAAACACCCTAGCATTTACTTCCTTAACAACCCCATCTATAAATATATTAAACAACCATGGTGACATTACACATCCCTGTCTAAGACCTACTTTTACCGGGAAATAGTCTCCCTCTCTTCTACACACCCTAACCTGAGCCTCACTATCTTCATAAAAACTCTTTACAGCATTTAATAACTTACAGTAATATAATAATATAAATTATTATAATACATACCTACTAATAATAATAAATAATACTATAATAATTATAAGTGAGTTTGAGAACACCATCACGAGAGGGCATTACGTGTATGAAAACAACACTCAGTCCGCGTGTGCTTCAACTAGCAGTGGAGATAATTCTCATGATTTGCTTATGTTTCATGCAGTTATTTTGCAGTATTTCTTGTGTCTAAGCATGGGTTCTAAGAAAGCAAGTGCAAAGGACAGTGCTGAGAAGAAAAAGAGGATGATTTCCATGGAATTAAAGCAGGAAATCATTGATAAACACAAACTAAGAGTGTATCATTAAGAGTATACCATCAAGAGTGTACCATTAAGATTGTAGCAATTAACCCTTTCAGGGTCCATGCCGTAATTCTACAGCTTTGAGTTGTGGGTCCAAACCGAAGAACTACGCCAAAATTCTAGCGGCCTCAAATTTAGCTCGAGAAGGCTGGTAGGCCTACATCTGTGGGTGGTCAGTGTGTGCACTATAGAAAAAATCTGGACACCCGTATGGCATCGTGGGAACGCCACCAAAGTGGCTTTGTTCACCATGCTTGGCATTAAGGAAGCTCTCACTCACCGGGCGAATTCTGATTCTCCTCTTCTCAACATATGGTTCTAAGACTGATGGAAGTGGATCTGAACCATATGGTACAATGGTGTATCATAAAATGGTATTATATGGTACAATGGTATTATGTGGTACAATGTACAGTATGGTATATTGTACCATATGGTACATTGTACCATATGGTACATGGGAATATGTCTGTCTGACTTTTTTTTTTTTTTGGTTATCCTAGGTTTCCAAACATATGCTGCTATGTATGATAATCTATGTAACTTTATTTGTGTATACCTAAATAAGCTTACAATGCCACATGTGCTTGAGTAAGTTTATTCAGATGTACACAAATACAGTTACATAGAGTATCATACATAGCAGCATATGTATAAAATCCTAGGATAACCCAAAAGAACAGATTACACTCGTAAGTAGAGGCTCCACTGTACGATACTATGTAGGTACTTTATGTAGAAAGGTTTGGCATTATGCCTTACCCAGTATGTCAGCAATTTTATAAGGTTCGACTTGCGTCCATTTTGACTTAGGATCGGTTGGTCAGAACCAAGCTCGGTCGTAAGTCAGATGGTACTAGTAATGCATTCTCTGTTTCAATACATTGCATATTCTTGATCAATGTTTTAAAGAATATGTTTAATCTTTATTAAGGTTACTGGAGTTAAGAATTTTTATTATTCAGTATTGCATTTTTGAAGGGAATGTCCCTGTTATTAGCTTTTTCTGAAATGGCTCTCCCAGCAAGGCAGGGTGACCTAGATATACCTTTGATGAGTTCTGAGAGATTTTCTTCTAGGGCCAGGCTTGTCTGGTGCTTGCCTGGTCAACCAGGCTGTCGCTGCTGGTGGGCTGCTGATCCTCATATCCATACAGCCTGGTTAATCGGCATTTGGTGAAGATACTTGTCCAGTTTCCTCTTGAAGACTTCTGCATTTGTCCCAACAGTGTTCCTGATATCTTCTTGTAAGATGTTGAATGATCTGAGACCATGGACATTGATAGTGTCCCCTTATTTTACCCACCACACTCATGCTTTTCACTGGGTTTATTTTGCACTTTCTTCCATATCTCTCACTCCAGTATGTTATGGCAGTGTGCAGATTATGTTTAGGATTCAAGTACGTACTCTCCAGGTATATGTTGTTATGTGTCTCTTCTCTGTTCCATTGAGTACATATGTAAGAGTTTTAAGGTATTCCCAGTAATTTAGATGCTTTATTGGCTATATGTGGGCTGTAAAGGATCTCTGTATCAGATCTGATATTTCTCTTGCCATCAATGCTAAGCAGTATTCCAAATGAGGGAGCACAAGTGATTTGAAAAGTGTCACCATTGGCATTATTTCTCTTGTTTTGAAAATTCTCATTATCCACCTCTTCATCTTCCTGGCTGTTGTGACCTTGATCTTATTGTGTTCTATGAAAGAAAGGTCAGCTGACATAATTATTCCTTAAATGTTTCATGTGTTCCTTTCACTCTGATGATCCTGCTGAGTTTTGTATTCAGTGTCCCTTTTGAGTTTCTCATTCTTTCCATACCTAAGCAGCTGGAACCTATCACCATTGAATGTCATGTTCTCCACTGCCCACTGGTAAATTCTGCTTAAATCTTCCTGCAATTTTTCAGTGTCTTCTACTGAAGCGACTTTCATTCTTAGTTTAGTGTTATTTCCAAATATGTACTGATACCAAACTGTGATGGGTGTTTTTATTAATGTCTACAATGAGAATAAAAAACAGCAGAGGTGCCAGGACAGCGCCTTGGGGAACTGAGCTTTTTACTTTGCTGATGCTTCATTTTGCTCTTAATACTACTACACTTTGTGTTGCATGTATTAGGAACCTGAAAATCCATCTGCCTACCTTCCCCATAATGCTTGTGACCCTTATTTTGTGTGCTATCTCCTCATTATCGCTTTTGTCAAGCACATTTTTTTTAGACTTAATAGTGTTGAATTAATGTTAAGAATTACTAAGGCATTTCACGATTAACCCATAATTCATCGAGGAATATTGAAATGATGTATTAACCCTCTTGTGACCTGATAATAGTCCAGACAGAACCAAAATATTTTCTTAAGTTTTTTCTTTGAATTGTGGCTTAATAGGGAATTGTTTCAGTCACGGTATTGTGATTTAACTCTTCAGTTACTAACATACAACCATTCATGAATAAAAATAAATACTCTAACATATTGTAATACAAAAAATTATAAGTAGCAATAAAAATGGAAGTAAAGGTTGTCATATCTTTATACAGTGTGTGTTTATTACCTGTAGATTACACTAGGATCATTGACCTTCAGGCCAGGTTCCAACCCAGGCCTTCCTTTCAACCACCTGATCAGCAAAGCTGTTGGTATTGTTTCTTGGTATTACAGGCCAAACCTAATTGCCCACCACTCCTCCCTTCCCCACCCCATCTATTCCATCTCAGCTCCTCTCCAGATGCCTTCCCTCTCTTTTCTTCCCTGTGTTTGGCCTTGGGAGATCTCTCCGAAATTATAGCCCCTAAGTTGAAGGAAGAGTATTGCTTTTTGTCCCATTCTGTTGAGGCCCTTGGTGGTGGTGTTTGCCATGGAATTTGAATCACTTGGGGATATGCTGATCCGCCCTCCAGAGTTCTGG